GGTCAGTTCACCTCATTGTGCACCTGCTGTAAGCCTGATTAAACTTCTGTCAGAGCTTGGTGACAGCGTTGTTATGGTTTTTTTTTTTCTTTGGACAGACAAACGTACGGATAAATCGGCCGTGTCCGGAGCTATCCGCATGCGCATTAATGTGGAGATCAAAGGAGAGGAGACAGTTGCCCCGTATCACGTTCAATACACCTGTTTGCATGAGGTAAGATCAGGAGATGGACCACCAGAGGCACTTCTTTTATTTCTGTATGCGCACTGCTTGTTTTGAGAAACTCGTTGAGAAGAGTGAGTGAGTGAGTGAGTTAAATTAACTGTGGCTCATTAACATACACAGGTGTCAACACACACATGGACTTTTATAAACATTCAAGTTAAGGAGTATATTTGTTCTTCAGCACGTTTCTGTTCTGTGTCTGTGCATTAAACTCACCTGATTGATTGCCGACCAATCACAGAGCTGAACAGTGTCATTACTCGGCTCGTTAATCAACAGAGTATATTAAATAAACCTTAACTGACAAATGACCTCTCTTATTGCTTCACACACACACCCATAAACTCACTCAGAGGGTTTTACAATGCTGTAACATTTTATGGCGCTGGCTTTATAATGTAGTTTTATAGCACTTTTTGTGTCACAGGGGTGTAAGTGCTTGTAGTGGTCTTGGCACAGTCAGTGCATTTAAAACTCTGACACAGCTGAGAGTTGATTATTAATAATTGTTTTCAGTTTTTAGCTTTTTTTCCGGCTTCCTCCCACCGACCAAAAAACATGANGAAAATGGATGGATGTTTTCAGTTTTTGTTCTTCCTTTGAATTCTCCACGTATCTTTTCTCTCCTTTTCTTTCCATAGAACCTCTTCCATTATGTGACAGATATCATGAATAAYGGTGTGGTACGGATCCCTGATGCCAAAGGGGACGATGCGTGGAAGGTTTATTATGAAGAGACRCCTCAGGAAATAGTAGACGAGTTTGCAATGCGTTATGGAGTGGAGTCCATCTATCAGGCCATGACGTAGGTTCCTGTCAGAATAGCTGAATTATAATACGATTATTTTAATCCTGAAACCAGATTGATTAAGTTTGTTGTTAATAATCTGTGTTTTTATGTCTTCTTACCTCATTTGCAGCCACTTCGCCTGCTTGTCGTCGAAGTACATGTGTCCAGGTGTGCCGGCAGTTATGAGCACCCTGCTGGCCAACATCAACGCCTACTACGCCCACACCACCCAGGCAACCAACAACGTCTCTGCATCTGACCGCTTCGCTGCTTCAAACTTTGGGGTGAGTCTGCAGAAACATCAAGACTGACAGGTGTGAGTGCTGAATGACAGCCGAAACAGATCACACTGAGCTGTTAAAGCTAAAAGGAAGAAGAGCACTAGCCAAAAGAAAAACGGAGCAAAGTGTTAATTAAAAGTTGAAACTTGCAAAATGCCAGCTAAAATCYAAAYGTAGCTAAACAGTAGCTAAAAGTTCAAATTCACAAAAAGCTAGCTAAAAGTCAAAATTAGAAAAAATAACTAAAATCTAAAAGTATCAAAAGGCTAGCTAATTGCTAAATATAAAATTGTCCAGTTAAAGACCTAAAATAGCTAAATGCAAGGTAGAAGCTAAAAGAAGCTAAATGCTAGCTAAAAATCACAAAATGCTTGCTAAAATCTAAGGCTAGCAAAATGATAAATGTACTAAAATATAAGATAACGTGTAAAGTAGCAAAAACAACGTAAAATCTAAAAKAAGCTAAATTCTAGCTAAAAGTCACAAAATTATAGCTAAACTTTAAAACTAGAAAAAGACTAGCTAAATGTAGCAAAATCTAAGATAAAGTAAGTAGACACTTTTTTACGTTTGTTGCAATTTGAGATTGTTTCTAATGAAAAGTGCATTACACATTAAATTTGTTGTTGTTGTTGTTATTGTTGTTGTTGTTGTTGTTATAAAAATACCAAAATAAAAGTTAAAAGTACCAAGATGCTAATTAAAAGTGTCCAAACGACAGCTAGAAGACAAACACAGCTAAGTTCTAGGGACAAGCCAAAAATAGTAAAATGCTAGCTTAAAGCAAAACGGCAGCTAAAAGGTAAAGTTGTATTAAGCAGACAAAATAAAACAATTGTGGTAAAGTATATTTCAAAAAGAACAATGTTTTTGAAGGAACTGAAATGAACTTGATGCATTTATGTGGAAACATTTACAGTTAAAGCTAAATATTCTGAAAAACACCCAACCTCCTGAATGAGCTGAACGTAATAAATTACTGGTTACAACAAAAGAACCTAAACCAAAATAGTAAGATTAAAAGAAATGTGCAGAAAAATGACAAAACGGAAAAGTAATTGTATGAATGATGAATCAGCTGATTTAACTCATTTTAGTTTCTGGGATTTTTAATGCTAGCTCCAACTTTCTTAAGTTGAAGATTGAATATTTCAGCTACATTTTGAAGAAGAATTAAATCGTCATGTTTTGTTCTCACAGAAAGAACGATTTGTTAAGCTTTTGGATCAGCTGCACAACTCTCTGAGGATAGACCTGTCCATGTATCGGGTAAGACTGTGATCACTGTCACTGTGTTTCCTGTAATAAATATAATTTGTCTGTTTCTCCCTTTGTGTCTTTGTGTGAGCAACACTGAAAACAAGAGGCAGTGTGTTGAAAAGAGTGATATTTCCTTTCAAACATGCACACATTCAGGAAACACAGCACACCCACACAGAAGACTGAAGCTCAGTGAAAATGATTTGAGCGTGTTGGCTCCTGCCCACAGACACACTGGACAGACACAGATGTGAAGTCGTGTTGTGGCTCAGTATGTGTGTTTCCTTGTTCTTTGCACTGCAGAATAACTTCCCAGCCAGCAGTCCTGAAAGGCTGCAGGACCTCAAGTCCACAGTGGACCTCCTCACAAGTATCACCTTCTTCAGAATGAAGGTACGCCCCTTCTTATTCATTATTGTTTCTTCTGGGTTTTATCCACTTCACCAACATATAACAACCTATTCTTCTGTTTCCCATTTACTGGTAAAACTTGACTTATAATTTAAAAACCTTTCTTTGTCTCTTTCATGAAGATGACCTGTAGGATTTTGACGAAGTATTAGCCTAGCATGATTGAACTCTTTGTGTGTTTTTGTTTGTGCGTTCAGGTTCAGGAACTGCAGTCTCCACCCAGAGCCAGTCAGGTTGTGAAGGATTGTGTCAAAGCTTGCCTCAACTCCACCTACGAGTACATCTTTAATAACTGCCATGAGCTGTACAGTCGGGAGTACCAAACAGACCCGGTGAGTAAACTATGGGTTCAGGTGTGAGTGGAAAATCAACATTTTGTACACCTTTATACAACAAATTTGATTTTCTCAAACTTTGCTTTGAAACAGTGTCAGATATTGAAAGCTACAGAAATTAAAGTAGGCACTTTGGTAAATGCACTGTCCGACCCCGGCAGTGTGTGGGTCAGGTTTTTGTGATCGTTAGTCACTCTTTTAATGCTTAGACCCCCCATATAATTTCAAAATCTATCTAAATAGTTTATCTAGTTTGTTTTCTGCTTTGTTTTGGAAAAATTGTTGTGAAATTGTGACGTGCACTATGTCTACATGGCTCCACGATTGTTTTAATGGTGTAGTGGGAGTAATGCTGCATTTGCTTCCTAATTTTCAACATTTGATGACCTCTAAATCCTTAAGGGGTGATTCGATTTTAAAAAACAAAACAGTTTTGGAATCAATACATAGAGCCTTACAAATAAAAAAGATAAAACTGCTGTAAGATAAATTTAAATTTTTTATCAAAGTCCCTAACTAAAGGTTTATATGTTTGCTTCATCTGAAACACAACATAGAGATAAATTAAAACATCTTTTTTTTTTTACCCCATTCTAAAAACCATTTGTCCTTGTTGTTGATCTTTTCATCCTGTGTGACTGAGCTGTCCTYATTTGATGTGTTAAACGCACAGCAGCTACTCTGTGTGTACACATTTATAAATTATTATGTGTGGCAGGTTCTCGTCATCTCTCTGGGTCGGCCCGGTTCTTCAACCCAGACCTCCTGCAGCGAGTTCAACAAAGCTTTCCGCAGCTAGCTTCAGTCATTAATTAAAGCACCCTGTGTGAATTTCAGATAAGCTTTTTTCCCCACTTTAAATAAAACATTTCATCCTGAGGGACAGACACAGCATTGTTTAGTAGASCTTTTTAAAGATAATTTTTCAGCATTTAACTCCTTCAGCTGTGGATAAAGAGTCAACCAGATGCTTGTTATGTTGAGTTTTTATAAGGAATTTGAAATGTAATTGCTAAATATGTTGGAATTTATGAATTAACATCAAAGTATTTTTTTCTTTGTTAGTTAAGTTATTTTTTTATTTGAGAAAATAGTGTTTTTTGTACTGCTCACTGAATATTTACTCCAGTTTTCAGGGTTCCTTCAACTTTCTTCTTTTATATTTTTTTAGAGATCTGAAATTCAGAATCTACATTAGCTTTCTGCACTGCTGTCCCTCCAACAGAGGAAACCGGAACAGACACAGAAAAGGAAAATACTTAATTTGTCAAACTGATTTCAAATAAAATTTAATTTAATAAACTGTGTGACACAGGGGCATCATGCTTTTATTAGTATGTTTATGTATTTAACTGGTAGTACAATGTAGAATCACATCCGTTAAGGACACAAGAAAACACTTTGTTCCCACATATTGTGCTCCTCACTGCTCTTCTTTCTGTTTCATTATCAATTTCGAGAAATCCTTCAAAAATATTTTGCTGAGGTCAGTTTTTGAGTCACAATCAGGAGGATGAAGGTGACAGAAGACRTGAAAATTTCTATTAGAAACATTTTTTTAAAGTCCACAGATTTTTGCGGATCTGGTGAGCATTTAAAAATAAAGCAAACTGTTACATAAAATAAAAAAAAACATTGGCAGGAAAGACAAATGAACAGCAGAAAGCTGCAAGGTCAATAATCCAAACCAGGAGGAAATAAAACTAGAATAATGGCTGGGAAAAACAGAAGCAATAAACTAGAAATTTAGGAAGAAAGGAGCAAAGCTGTACTTATAATAAAAGGGTCCAAACACACATCCAGCCCTCCACCAACACCCTGTCACACACACACACACACACACACACACACACACACACACACACACAC